GACCTGTACTTCCGCCTGTATAGGGCTTCATATGGTGCCATCCGGATACTGGAATGTTAGTTTTTATTATAAGCAAACTCAATGAGCGGCAGATGATCTTCCCAATTTCCTTTGAAGTCTAGAGCACAGTCTTGCAACATGTCCTCGAGTGACAGAATAGTGCGCTCGGCCTGACTGTCTGTCTGCAGATGGAAAGTTGTGCTAAGACTGATCTGCGTACCCAAACCTTTCTAGAAGAATCTTTAGAAGTTCATTGTAACTAAACTCTTCTATCTGAGGTAATAGACATTAGAATGTCCTTAAGCGTATTGTCTTCTCAATTTATCACTTATATAATTCTCGACTATGCGAATGCTCCATCTTGGTAAGAAATGGGTTAATCTTGTAAATTTTTTGACCGTCAACCCTCTAGAGTAATATTTCTAATAAGAACGGGGTAAACCCATACTGCACTTTATCCTTGAACTACTCTTTCATTTCCACGCCGGGAACTCTATCCTCTGTATCAGCCCTCTGGGCCTTGATACTCTATTTGTACCCGCTGACCATTAGGTTTACTGTGCCAAAATTCGGCAATCTTCTTGTCGCACTAGCACAACAATACATGTCTCTAGTACCATGGTATATCCTTTTCAAATCATGATGAATAGAATGGGGGGGGGGGGGGGGGAATTAATTCACTTCCACTCTCAACTTGCCCCATAGATTATCTATATCCGGGACATACAATCGACCTGATATCAGAAAACCCTGTTTCCCTAAACTCAAACATTATCTCTCTTTGCCATAAAAATTTCTCTTTCGATAATATTAACTCCGGATCTTCATATTGTTTCTCTACTATGCCCCGCCACAAGGGGAACACTGATACCTTATGCGCTACAAGTCTATTATCATTAGAGTCCTTAAATTGGATCCTTAAACTTTCTAACTGATAAAGTTCTCTGGCTAAACTTCTTTTTCTTTAGCCTCTAGATAGGTTAAGTTGTCCATACCTCTTATCTTATGCTGCCCCGGAGGTTGTCGCGTTGTTAGGTTTAACTTCCTTTTTAGAATGTAATAGGACATAATCTCTGTGTGAATCCCTATTGTTATTCTTTTACTTCGATTACTGGGGGTGCTATGTGATGACCCGATAGGTCATATAGAGTTTTAAACTTTAACTCTGTATTTTGAAGCCTTCGATAGCTTCTTTAAGCCTTCCTCGATTTACGTGCGTGGTCCGTATCTTTTATCGGGAGGCTTTTATGTGAAAAATTGATAAAATGTGAATCTGTGCCTTAAAGATTTATTTGAGTTGACTTCAGTCAACGTTTTGAACAAATGGATGCGGACTCGTATTTTGACGATCCCCGTGGATCCGTATCGTGATTTGGAATCTGATCGTATGCTCGGAATCGAATTCGAAGGTCCCTAACTCGAGTTATCGCTTTTGTCAAAATTTGATGTTTAAAGGTTTACAGAATTTAAAATTTTGACCTAGGTTTGACTTTGTTGCTACCGGGTCCGGATTTTGGTTTCGAAGCTTGGTATATGTTCATCACTATATTCATGATTTATCAGCAAAATTTTGATAAAAAAATGGAGCTGGTTTGACGTGATTCGGACGTCCGGTTGTTAAAATAGAAATTCTTAAAATTTCATTTGATTTGGTGTCCGATTCGTAGTTCTAGGTGTTATTTAAGCGATTTGATCGCGCGAGCGAGTTCGTCTAATGTTTTTGGACTTGTATACATGTTTGGTTTGGTGCCCCTGGGGCTCGAGTGAGTTTCGGATAGGCTACGGAAGGTTTTTGGACTTAGTATCATAGCTGAAGCCTTTGTGCTTCTGGTGTCTGCTGCAGACTTCACAATTGCGAGGTCTGGATCGCAAATGCGAGCCTCGCATTTGCGAAGGAAGCATCGCATTTGCGAGTAGGGGCTGGGGGTTGGCTTTCGCATTTGCGAGATCTGGGGTGGCATTTGCGATCCCCTCAGGTTCGCATTTGCAAAGGCATCATGAATGTGAAGACTTCGCATTTACGAAGGATTATTCGCATTTGTGGGGTTCGCAATTACGAACCCCAGGTCGCAATTGCAACATCTGCGCCTGAATTTAAGATGGGAAAAACGGGATTTTGGTTCATTCTTTTAAATTTTCAACCCTAGAAACCTTAGAGACGATTTTTCCAAGAGCTCTTCTTCCCCAACTCGGTGGTAAGTAATTCTAACCTACTTTCTTTCAATTACCAATTACATTTCATAAGATTTCAACCTATAATCTAGGCTTTTCAAGGTCGAAATTGGGGATTTGGGTAGAATTAGAGATTTTTGTAACATTGGAATTTATGCCTCAGATTAAGGTCGGATTTTGAAATAAATTACATAATCGGGCTCGGGGGTGAATGGGTAATCAGGTTTTCGTCCGAATTTCGGGTTTTGACCAAGTGAGTCTGGGAGTTGACTTTTCTTGACTTTTTCAATAATGACCTAAATTGAACCTCTTTCATTCGTGGGTAGTTCCTAGGGCTTATTTTGAATCGTTTGGTTGTTAAATTGCTAGATTTGATTGGTTCGGAGGCTTGTTCGAAAGGCGAAGCCGTGGTTGAGCTTTAAGTCGATTTTGGAGCGAGGTAAGTGTTGAGTTTAACCTTGATTTGAGGAAATTAGGGACCCTCGGACTATGTGCTATGTGAAATTCATGTGTTGCAGCGTATATGCGAGGTGAGGAGTGCTTATACGCTGCTGGATTACTTGTTTCCTTGATTTTTCTCTTTTCCTTAATCGTTTCCTTCCATGTCTTAACTGTTATGTGCTTTAAATGCCTCCCATGCTTTATTTTTGCTACTTGTAAATCATTGTTTCTCGTGTTAAAAATATTAGACCTTTCCATGCTTCATGACTCGCTGCTATTTGCCTTAATTGACTTACTTGCACCTTTTAATTGTCGTTTACTAGACTTGTCTTGCTGTGTAATATTACATATGTGAATTCCCAAGTTGGTACGAGGCTTCCTTTCCGATTCAACTTCATATCTATCAATCATAGAGGTTCTTGTGATGTGAGTTATTGATTCGATTGTACTCATTGAATAATTGATACTGATATGGTGGGATCGGGTTGCACGCCCCAACATGTAAAATAAGGGTGGATTGATATGGTGAAATAAGTGTGAATTTGTACTGATATGGTATGATCGGGTTGCACACCGCAACATGTGAAATAAGGTTGGATTGATAAGGTGAAATAAGGGTGAATTATGATACTGATTTTTGTTATATGGTGGGATCGGGTTGCGCGCCGCAACATATATTTATTTATGATTGTTGATATTGTTACGGTGGAATAAGAGAGGATTGTGTTGTACGGTGGGATTGGGTTGCGCGCCACAACAATCTATGTGTTTCTATTTCCTTGTGCTGTGTTAGTTTTCGGTATTTTTTTTATACGAAACTCTAAGGATTTATAATTCTGACCTTCACTAGTTTTCTCTGAGGATTTAGCTATTTTCTTCAGTTAACTGTCTTATTTTGCTCTGTATTTTCCTTTTTTGGCTTTATTTTATACTCCGTACAGGTTATAGTGTAAGTGACCCGCCTTAGCCTCGTCATTACTTTGTCGAAGTTAGGCTCGACACTTAGAGAGTACATGGGGTAGGTTGTACTCATACTAACTCTGCACTTCTTGTACAAATTTTGGAGTCGGTCCCAGCGGCGGTCATTAGCGTGCTCGGGTTGGCTAGTAGTATGGAGACTTGAGGTACAGCTGCTCGGCGTCCGCAGCCCCTAGAGTCCCCTTTCCTAATTATTAGCTGTGTATTTTCCCTCAGACAACTTCATGTTTTATTCATACCTTTATTTGCATTATTCTAGTAACTCGTGCACTTGTGATATCGGGTCCAGGGTGGTATCATGTTTTGTATCTCACTATCTCCCCTATAGGAGGAAGCCCACTCTTGTGCTCAGGGATTTCCTTCCTTTTAAGCAGGGCTACTGAATCATTTACACGAGTAGAACGTCGCGCGTTCATTACTGACATACTCAATCTCAGTAGACAACCTCTTTTCCCATTCCTATCAAGACATTAGTCTTAGCCCCTTCTCCCTGGTAGCCTTCAAGGATCGCCCTTTTTGCAACTTATTCGACTCTCAGCCTCTTATTCCCACTTAACTGAGGGAACTTCCTAACAGTAGTACTCCCTAATTGAGGGAATTAATTCCTCTGTTCAATATATTCCGTTGACCTTTGTTAATTCAAATTCATAATACATTAGATTCTACTTCACTATGATCTTGTCACATTACCATGCTTTACCTTACGAATCTTACTCATTTCTTGTTCTTTTATCTTTGTGTCATTCCATTGCTATCAATCTCACTTCTTAATTATATACTAAAGGATCGTTTGGTAGCTAGTTAGGAAGAAGTTATCCATATATTAAAATTAGGATAACTTTATACATTGTTTGGTTATAAAAATAGAAAAAAATAATTTACATGTAGAATCTAGCATAATTTACACAATGTTTGGTTGGTTTTTTTCTTTTTCACATAAAACATAGCATTGCTAATATAATATTTAGTTCATATTTTTCTTTTTCGCATAACTAATACATGTATAAATTATGAGGGAATGTATGTATTACTTTATGCAGGGTAGAATATGGAATAACTTATACATGTATTAGTAATGCTTGTATTAAAACACAAAATGACAAGAATAATCTCTATTCAAACTTGTATTTTTTTGTTTATAAGATTATATTTAAAATGTACTAATAATTTTAATTGAATAAACTAGACTAATAATAAATGATACTCATATTACATTTCTATATTACTAGTCCATACATAATTAATTTTCAAATAACTAATCATAATATATTTCTAAGTAATTAATTCCTGTATTGCTAATCTGTGCATAACTCTAACCGGTAACCAAACGATCCGTAAAAGCTAGTGAGCTCTCCCACTAACACGAAAAAGAAAGTAAAATAGAGGGAGAGGGGGACAAGGGCCAAAATGGAAATACCACTGATACAGTTTGCTCCATATCATAGCGCCAGTCCACTATGTACATGGCGGCACCATTATCCATAACAACTTGAACATTCCTCAAACAGCGAAATACTCTCAATTTTAACCGATAACGCCCAATCAAACTTCCTCCAAAAGAAAAAAATGGAGGCAACCTCAGTGCTCAGCTCCTCTTCTACTTCCTCTTTTCCGCCTTCACACATCCTCTTATCTTCCTATACCTCAAAACCCCAAATGGGGTTTATCTTCAATTCTTTATCAAAATGCACTTCTGCTCCTCGTTTGCTCTTTTCTTCTTCACACCAAACTAGTGTCTACACTAACAGCAACAGTAGTAGATTCTCTGTGCTTCGCCCTTCAGCTCTTACTGTTGAAGAAGCTGTTGAACAATCCACTGATACTTTTTCAGTGCAGCCTAAAATTGATAAGAGTGGCAGATTTTGTAGTCCTAGAGCCGCCCGAGAACTCGCTCTGTATGTCCTTTTTCCTTTTCCCCTTTTGTATAACTCGTTTTGTTTAATTGTGCGAACTACTTTAGTAAGAATTTGAATTGTTACAAAATTTTACAACTATGAGGTTTCAAGTCACCTAAGGGAGCAAAGTAGAAAAACACCATTGTTTGGCTACTGAATAGGGGAGTTTGGGAGTTGAGTTTACTGTTTACCTTATATATGTATACAAAGAAGATTAAAAATGTACCATTACTTGTATAAGTTTAAAATATTCATACAATAACACCACGATTATTAGAAAATTATAAAATAATGTAAATACATTTTTTACTTAACAGTTACATGGAGCAAATGTCTGTCCTAATTCTGTTGCATATTCTTGTCTTAGGATGACAATATATGGGGCTTGTTTGGAAGGGTCAGGCCCTGTTCGCCTTTTTGAGAAACGGATGAACATTAGAAGAGGTAATGGATTGTTCTATTGGCCTCTTTTCTAATTTTAAATAAACTGCTGATAAACTTATGTTTCTTTTAATTCTTTAGCTAACAATATTTGATTCTGGTGTGTAGAACCGGGATATGAGTTTGATAAAGAGTGGTTAGTGAAGTACAATCACATGAGCTTTGGAGGCCCCCCTGTGAAAACTGAGACGGTTGAAGAAGCTGATGAACTTCTGAAAAATGACGAAAATGATTCTGAAATAGGTATTTACATATGTAGTTTTAGCTTACTGCTTCATATGGTTGCTACTCTGTGTTACTATAGTTTTCTCTAGGGATGGTTAACTCGAGGTTAATATCTTTACTCTATTAGAATCTTATGATCTCTTCTATCAGTAGCATTGTAGCTAATTTTCTCTTAAATATCTGATTTGAAGACTAGGTTTTGAGCGGAATGACAGAGACCGAATAGTTACATATTTTAGACTTGCAGCCTGAAGTTGAGACTTAAAGTGCAGAATTATTTCTTGGTCCCTTAGGTTCCTTCACAGTGAATATTTCGTCCTTGGTACCAAAGATACTCTTGAGCCTTTGACAACGCAGGGACGTAGTACGAATTGACCACTGCTTCTGCACATGAAATTGTTTCATTCGTATTTGGATTGATCCACTACAAGTCAAGTAACAACCTTAGATGGTTAATCAATGCCTACAAGTCAAGAGTAACAACCTTAGATGGTTAATCAATGCCTATTCAAACTGACTTTTGACTATGTTGTAGAATATGCATTGACATTCTCCTATTATAATGTAATGATGAGTTCACTGCACAGTTCACCATATGCACGGCATTTAAGATGTTCTTCCTAGGGGAGCTTAGTCTTTGAGATAATAACCTGAATAGTCCTTCATGAATGTGCCTAATCTATAGCACAAAAAGTCAGTTATTCACCAATATATAGTGGCAGTGGGGTGATAATTAGGAATGAAGTTGACTTCCCTCCAAAAAGATTAAACAAAAAATAAAGGCAATATGCACCGTGATCTAAATAGGTCACTAGTTGCAAAGTTGACTTCTCCTTATCAAAAGAAAAAAGAAGCAGCAAAGTTGACTTCAAACTCTTTTAAAAGGTATAGATGTCGGCACTAGTAAGGGGTCAATTGGTTATCATGGAAAGAAGTGAATAATAATGAGTAAGATAGTGCATGTTAATTTTAGAAACCTACAGTCTTTCTGCCCAATTCCTACTTTCATATCCTTCAAATCAATTCACCCATAAGGCAACAAGTTTTGAACATCCTCTTCTTTCTACTCCAGCTTTTTAAGATTCCATTCAATGAGGCACACTACAAACAGCTGGAGCCCATTTTGGCATTATTAGCAAACTCCATTCTTGTGCTGTCTAGTAGTTATATATATTCCTGCCTCCGTTAAGGGGCTAATTCAGTTATTTGGCCTGCACGGGTTCGTTCATCTCAGTAATCACTTCAGTCGTTCCACCCACAAAGGTACTTTTTTCGGTTGGCGTTGATAGGTACCTAGTCATAATGTTGCTTAAGAAGTTTGTCTTGTACATGTGTTTCATGAATGGATATTTCTGTTCTATAGTTTTATTTTTCTGTGAGGAGTATCCCACTAAACCCTGAAGTGACCTTTGTTGCTTGCTTTTTAAGCTGCCAAGCCGGTGATTCCTTCTGTGTTTCGGACATTTGATTCTTGCTGAAGCTGTTTAGACATCTAGAATATTGTTGATTGGATGTGTAGAGTAGGTTCAATAATGCAACTCTGAACCTACCCCAATAGTTGAAGCCCTGAAACCTGAGGTGTCAGCTTTTTTCCTCCAAACAAATGCTCTTATCAAGGAAAGAACTAATGATTCTATTGGGCCAAGGATGCTCAGAGCAATTAGTCAACTCAGTAGTTGATACACAAGTGTTTGATTTGGTTCTGCTATTTGTTTTTTCAGGCTTTGTTGCTTATTACTTCTTGGAGCTGTATCGTTTATTACTTTTGATTCGTAAGTTCTAGAGAAATGTTTTGCACCTCTTTCCAATTAATAAAGCATTAGTTACTATTCGGGAATTTTTTTTGGAAGTCCTTTGTATCTGTTAAAAACTGTCATCCCCAACAAAAATTCCTTGTGAAGCTGATTGCTTTATGAGGGTTTCTAAAAATATTTCTCTAGGAACTATTTTGCAATAACCACATAAGACTATTTTTTCCCTCCAAAATGACGTCTATAGTGAAAGTTAACCAGATATGTTATATGCTTCTTTGAAAATGGGAAGAGAGCTAATCAAAAAGGGAAAATTGTAAAGAGAAAGCTCTTCAAAAATGACAAGAAAATGGAAGTACTTTGATTAACAATATTTCTACTCAGAATAATCACATATATGCGCGAAATGAACATGATGAGTAGGACCAAACTGCTAACCTTGTTTTGCTCCACCTTTAGCCAAATCCAGTACATGCACATGAAGGATGAAAGAACAATTTATTCAACAAAAGTTCATCTACAGAAGATTGTATTGAGGTCTGGTTCCGCCCCGTGATGGAATAACTTTCTGAAGTTTTTTTTCTTCCTCAATTTCCTGGGAGATTGGTTGAGCCTTCACTCCTAAGTCCTATCCCCTCATAGATACTAGATACATTGTTGCGTTTTAGTGATATTGTCACCATGCAACATTGTGGTCAATGGTTTTTAGTAGAAACATATGAATGCAAAATTCTTTCTCAAAAATTAAAAAATGTGGAAAATTTTCTAATCTCTATCTTTTTCCTTTTTAGCTAATTTCTATATTTGTCCATTCAATCCAATAATCCATTAATTTATCTTCTCTCTCTCAGAAGCTGAAGTTCTCTCAGCTCCACCAAAGTTAGTGTACAGCAAACTTATTTTGCGGTAAGCTCATTAATCATATATGACTCTCCTTATGTAGCTTACAGTTTCTGCTTTCTTCAGAGTATGGGCAGGCATGGATAGACTGGTAACTTTCTTGAATATTTGCAGTTTCTCACGGAAACTTTTGGTGGCAGTTGAAGAAAAGTGGGATAATAACGTGCTTGCAATAAATAAAGTGGCACCCGATAATTGGAAGGTTGGATGTGTTTCTTATGCCTTTATGTTCCTGCTCTTAGTTGTAATAGATAGATTTTTGCTTGCTGGACACAAAAGCGATAGCACCATAAAATTCGGGATTCTTTCTTCCATGAACCCACACAACCACGTTTTGCCACCAGTCCCAACTCTTTAGAATGACATTCAGATTGAATCGATTGAATATGATCAAAAGAACATTTCTCCCATTTCTACTTCTATATGGAAGTATAACTAAACATGCAGTTCATTCAAAATCTTGCCCTGCTTGTTCCTCTAAGGGAGCCTCAGTAGCTACTTTCAGAAAATTCTTTTGATGCTATAAGTGGAACAATGCAATATCTTTCCTTCAAATGAATGAAGAAATTACAATATGCTTTTCTTGATTAACAAAAAGTCACTTGAGGTGTGTCATCCTGAATGTACAGATGTGGACAAGCTTTAGTTAAGAAAATATTCATGTTTGGGAGATTTTATATTTGAAAGACAACTATGGACTAAAAATGGCTAGGAAAATAGATTGTCTCTTGCACTTCTATAGTTTTTTTGTTTTCTTTTTCTTTTTAGTTAATCTAATTTCCAACCTTTATCTGCGACGACCCTGTCTAGTCCCTCTGCCAAGTTAGCCTACCAAATTAAGTGAAATCGCGCAATTCCACCTGCATTGTCCTGCTCCCCTTTCTCACCATCATGCCAAGCACTTTCAAACTATTGATACACTGAGTCGGGGTTATGCAATATGAGCGAGCGGTTAGGATATAGTGAAGGAGGCAATGAAAGAAAAGTTGAGTGGCAATGAGAATTAATGAGGCTGTTAAACTTCTGTCAAGTTGGTCAACTTGGTGGATAGAAGGACCAACATTGTATTGCATGAATTCAAGGTTAAATGAGCTGTAAATCAAGTACAGTTCAAGGGCCAAAATTGGCATCTGCCTGTACAGATTCTGTTGGGCGATAAAGGAAGTTAATCTGCCTGCTTCTGCTGTGGTGTGATTGTTGGGTGCGGGACAGGAAATAATATATGAACTCTAGCAGCAAACAAGCTTTCATTTAAGTTCAAGTGAAAAGGAACAATTACAATTTATGAATGCTTTTTATGAGTAGATAGGTCAAGAAATCTGTACTTCATCAATGTGTAAAAGCTAGGGATGTTTAATCTTTCGTTTTGACTTTATCGTCCTAGAGTTGTTTGTGTTTTTATTTTGTGAATAATCGATCAGGTTCAGATAGAACCATCGATTGCACTTTTTGTTGGTATCTTGAGATGACAGAATTTGTTAATACGCCAGTCACTAATGCCATGAATTCTTCTTCCAGAATGAGCCAGCAAGCAGGATCCTGGAGTTCTCAATTCTTCATTTATCAATGGCTGAAATATCAGTATTAGGAACACGGCACCAGATAGTCATCAATGAAGTAATTTTTCTATCTTAACATTTTTTTCGACTACTCTTGAGTCTTGAATAACTCGACTATTTAACCTCCCCATTCCCCGTGCATAAAAAGCTGAGGGGAGAAGTGTTTCTTCTTGCTTCCTTGTCCTTACTTCCTGTTAATTAACATTGAAAGAGCATTTCAATTGAAGCTGATTAGGGTGAAGTAGAAATAACTTAGTAGTTCAAAAGACAGGAAGAGAGGCTAAGCCAAAGGTGTGAATTGTTTCGTTATGATTCCACTTGTGGATTTGAGACTACTTAAAATTCTCTCTTTTTGTTGAGTTCCCTATATATCCATGGCACTCGCATGCAATAATAGTCCATCATCAATAGAGGCGAATCTAGGATCTAGAGTGAGTTCAGAATGAGAGTGTCCTTTTATATGTATACATTTAACTATTGTGCATCTATATATGCATAGCTCGAGCAGAAGGTACTGGGTTTACTTGAACCCGCCTAAATCCACCTTACCCTGTAATTTCTTTCCTCATCTTTCAATCCCGCTCATCACTTAACTGTTTTTGTCTATTTAAGCACTCAATTAGCAGTTGAACTCAAATAATTTCATTCTCCCATTCTTGAAGGCTGTTGACCTTGCGAAACGATTCTGTGACGGGGCGGCACCCCGTATTATCAATGGTTGCCTCAGGACATTTGTAAAGGATCTTGAAAGAGCAAATTCCCGAGCTAACCAGTCACTGTTTACTTGACACGTCGAAGATCTCAAGAATTTAATGAATACTCAAAGAGTTAATATCTCAACCTACAGGAGACACTCTTTCCGGGCATTCCTTGCAAATGAGAAAGAGATCAGCAATGCCTTGAGATGCAGCTCCTCGGACAACTTTGTGCGCTCATCCAATATAAGGAAGAATTGTATATCAAGATGTTAGCATTGCCAATTTTCAAGTGTATGGTTAATAGTGTCATGTCTATCCTGAAGCAATGTATATTGTATCACACTGTTTAATGAAGGCTTTGAGCCTTTGACTTGAAATTTCAGTTTGTAATAGCTTTTTCTTTTTTGGTTTAAAAGACTACTTCTATTAATTAAGATGCATTACAGGGTGCTGCATGAATGGTGCAGAGTTACAAAAGTACAAACTATTAGTACTGTCTATCCCTGGGACGTTACTACTATCTAACCCTAGGGAATTACTATTACAGGTAGTCTGACTAGACGAAGCTTCGTCGGACGGTTGACAAAAAGAGTTTGCATAAGATGCTACTGGAAAACTATTACTAATATATCGTCTTCGTTGAAGCCCTAGCTTATCGGCTTCTAGGTTTGCCGTAACAAAAGGTGGAGCTTGCTCCCAAAAAGTGATGTTGGTCCTCATTAGTTCCATGCCAAAATGAGCCAGCTGGTCAATAACGGTATTTTGCTCCTTGTAAGCATGTTGTAGTAGTGGATCACCCAATTGGTGGATCAGGTACCTGCATTCATTGAGTATATGTGAGAAGTTTGTGGAGGTGGTACGTAGGTTTGCAATTACCTGCTTAGCATCCAAATTAATTTCCAGCGAGGTAAGGTTATAAGCTAAGGCTAGTTGCAATCCACGCAACAGACCCACTGCTTCAATGTGCACCATTGTATTGGCTTCAAAGTTACCTCTGATTTCTATATTACCTGCGAATCCCATTACCCAATTTCCTTTGTCGTCTCTGATAATTCAACCAACCTGCATAGGGGTGTTTTATAGTCCCGTCCGTGTTAAGCTTAAAAAGCATTTTGGTGGGGGATCCCATTTGAGCTGTAGTGGAATTAGCGAGGTCTTGACCTTAGTCGAGTTTGTTAGGTAGTAAAATTTAGAGGCTTGATTGAAAATAGTTGAATGTTGGGAGGTTTTTTTAACATTGTCAAAACAGTCGTGGTTTCGAGTTTTCCATAAATGCCAAAGTATAAAAGGAATTAGGGATTGATGGTGTAGGGATTTATAACACTTGTGTTTATCGTGCATAATTAGCTTCTTAATCCAAACATGAGTTGGTGCATTATTGTAAGGAATTTTTTGGATTAAAGGTCGTAGTTGTAGTTGTAACCAACATTGTTGAACGTTGGCACATTTAAAGAAAATGTGGGGAATGGTTTCTGCTTCTTGCTGACATATAGTTCAAATATTGGAAGGAATGATTCCTAGTCTATTTAAGTAATGTTGTGTGGGCAGTCGTTCATGACTTAGGAAAGTTTTAATTTTTGGTAACATACATAGTTGCCATATCCAGCCGTGGTGATTGGGTAAGTCGTTTGATTTTGTAGCAAGAATTAACTGAGAAGAGACCCGATAATGTATGTCCCCAGATGATGCGATCAGGGAGAATTGAGTAAGCGGGTATATAGTATTGCGTTATTCTTTGGAGTATTGATGTAGGCAAATTCATGGACATGAGTGGGTTAGAATTTCCTATAATGTTGAGTGCTTGTGCTACAGTGAGATTTTGGTCTTGTTCTGTTAATGGCCCATGTATGAGACTACGAACATTAAGGCTAGGAGCTTGTCCTGCCAAAAGTTAATTTGAGTTCCTTGTGTGACCTGCCAGACTAACCCCTTTTGGCATACATTCCACCCGTAACTATATTTTTCCAAATTATGGAAGTTTTGGGGGGTTTGATGTGAAGGCTAGACCATATTTGGAGAGAAGAAGGGATGCCCATTGGGCCCTTTGGTTTTGGAATAATCTCCATGATGTACTAGCTAGAAGTGCTGGATTTTTGGCCTTAAGTTGTTTTATACCTAGGCCTCCTTGTGATTTGGGCGTCGTGATGACTTCCCATTTAATCATATGCATGAGTTTTTTCTGTGCAGTGGTGCCCCATAAAAGAAAATTTTGATATTGTTCTAGTCTATTAATCACATAGTTAGGTAGTTTGATGATTTGCATCAAGTGGTTGGGTATGGAGTTTAGGGTAGATTTAATGAGAGTTGCTCTTGTCACACCTCCTTTTTTCACTACGCCCTCGGAAGGGGATAATAAAGGAGTTTTTCCACTTAAAGGACAATCGGAACGGGATTTATTATTAAGATTCAGAGTCGCCACTTGGGAGATTAATGGTGTCCCAAGTCACCGGTTGAATCCCGAACCGAGGAAATTAAGACTCTGTTAACAGTCCGCGAACCAGAAATCCGAGTAAGGAATTCTGTTAACCCGGGAGAAGGTGTTAGGCATTCTCGGGTTCCGTGGTTCTAGCACGGTCGCTCAACTGTTATATTTGAATTTATCTGATTTCAAAACATGTTTTAGCTTATGTGCTTTTTAAGCGTAAACCGCTTTTATTATTATTTTAACGAGAATTGCAACGTCGTGAAAACGTGTCTCGAACCACGTCACATAAATACACCCGTGGTTGTTGACACATTTCGACTTCGTTGAGATATGGATTTGGGTCACATAAATGTGCACCCGAGTTTAGGAAGGTAATGTTATTAAAATACGTGCCTAAAGCGACTAGCGCGTTGTTATCTTTGGGGAAAGCCGTGAAATTCGCTAAACGGCCCATCCCGAAATCTAAGTATTTCAATACAATATTTATTGAGGGCCCCACAATTTATGTGTTTTGTTCGGCGAGGCTCGTCTCTTTCATTGTTTAACAGGCACACCTAAAAGCGACTATGATTTTCTATCTTTGCTTGTCTCTAAAAAAAAAAAGAAAAAAAAAAGCCCTAATTACTTAACTAACCAATCAGTTTTCATTAAAAGCATTCAAAGAGGCTTAAATCTCAAGTCTATGATTTTCAGTTTGCTAGGCCCCAAAACAACCCAATACGCGAGAGTGCAACTAAATTGGGCTTCAGGCCCAAATGAAGGCCGGAAATTAGACAACCAATCTTTCAAGAGAGTAATTACACCGTCCTGATTTTAGAAATGAACGAACGTACTAGCAAATTTACTTATGCTTGCAATTATAAGACACATGTTATACCTCCTAATTGTTATGCTGTAACCAAATTAAGAACCAGCTGACGAGAAAATAACTAAGACTAGCGTGAACTATTAACTTCGACCAACTTAATTGCCAACTTAAACTGTTTATGATTTTGAATGTTAAACAGAAAATTGCTAAGCTAAACAAGTATTAACTATACTAAACCTAAAGCTAAGTAACTACAAATTAACAGTCCAACAATCTCTTTAATACAATTCAGCCAGTCCAGTATTATATACACTAACAATGCTAATCGAATCTCAATGAACTACTTGTTCTGCTTAGCATTAACAACCACTTTAAGACTACTACAAATTGGAAATCAACACAGTCCAAGTCATTTTAAAGTCCTAATTACAGTCCACTTTTAATTACACCGGACGACCAACTAGATCGCACAAAAAATCATTCAAACGTAACAGAAATATTAAACAGTAGATCTATAGCATAAACTTCAATTTCATTTCAGTTTTCAGCAGGAGATCTACATTGAAACAAGCTCGAATGTGTACCTGGTATTGGAAATATAAGAAGAAGAAGGAAGGGTCAGCAGCAATTTAACAGCTAACAGGAACAATCAGCAAGTCTCAACAGCAATAACCATCAAATAGGAGTGATTTTGATCCAAAAATAGCTTCACCCAAACCAGTAACACACCATAGAAATGCAACAACCAAATGATTACCAAACTGACTCGACTGAACTCCAAAAATTACCCGAACTCAGACAGAAACACCTCTGAAATTTCCGATTACTAGAACTGAACTAGGAAATGCAAATTAACCTCTAACAAACTAAGAAACTTGAACAGAACAATTTTTTTTTTTGGATTTTTGTAATTTCTATTGTTTTTGGCTTTCTGAATTTTTGAATTGTTGTCTCAGATCTGAAGAGTTGAGTGAATACTGATTTTTGGGGGAATTTTGAGGGCAATTTTCAGATCTCCCCAAACTTGTGATTCAAGGCAAGGACATTGCCCTTTTATAGGCACATATGAGGCCATATCAGATTTTTAGCCTTTGCCACTTAGTCCCTCTTTTAAAAATCAATTTTATCTAACTAATCCCTTAGTTATTGACTTAGATGTCAAGTTATCCTACTCATTTTCCTTGAATTTCCACTTTAAACCCCAACTAGAAACTCCTAGAGAGTTCTCAATCACACAATTCCTTCCCTTGAACTAAACCAATTACCCCCTCAGTCTTTTATTCCAATTAAAAATAGATTATAGTTACTCAAACATCCTAATGCAACCATATCCAATGTACTAATAAAGCAGGAAGACCATTCTAACTTCAATAATGAAATTCAGAAGCAATCTGATATACTTAACTAATTAATAAAACTAAACTTATCAAAACAACACTCAAGTATCACCAAAACAGGATAAAAAAAATGATTAAACCAAATGAAAACTAATTGAATCATAAAACACAAAATTAAACTCAACAGAATCAATTACGAAATAGCAATCAGGCAGAACTTAAACTAATCAGAAAGATCATGAAGAACTACTTTAATAATTCTCACAGTCCAAAAAATCCTAAAACAAAATCAACATGATGAACACAATATTCGCCTGAACCACAAATTTAACACAAACCAATCACAATTATTATACCACGGAAAAGAGCAGAAACTCAGTTATTGAAAAAAAACTAGAAAAGAAGAGAAATAGAGGGAGAACATAACCAGAAAACAAGTAGATGAACTTACTGGATGCCCTGAAAATCAGTTTTAAGTAATTTGGAGGCGGCGCCGCCATGCACGGTGGAAGCGGCATCCATATTTTTGAATATTCGAGGGGTTGGACTTACATTCGAACGGTGATTTTTAGGGCGTTGGAAAGAGGAGACGGAGGGGATTTAACGGTGTAAATTTGGGGTGATTTGGAGAAAGTTGCGTTGTGGCCGGAAAATTTTCGAATTAAGATTCGAAGTAGATTGGTTGATGTTTGAGGGAAATTATTTGGATATTTGGGAATGGGGGGGCTGAGGAGGTTTCGATGGGTGTAATTTTGGGGACTGAAAGGGTACCGGCGCCGCCGATCCACGAGCGGTTGGGGGAATTAAGGCGGCTCCGATTAGGGTTCTTGAGGAGAGGGGGGGGGGGGGGTAAAAAACGTGGTG